GATCTCATGATAGCTTTAAGAAAAAGAGAGGGTTATTTTATTCATTAATATTCTTTTTATTTTATATTATATATTCTTTTATTGTACTTTAATTTTCATTATTATTATTATTATTTTTTCTATTATTATGTTTTAATTTGATTTGAATTGAGTGAAGAGTTAATTTTTGTATATATCTTGTTTTTTTCTTTTTTATTGTATAACGATGTACTGGGGACTTATACGTTCAATCCTGGGAATGGAACGCAAAGTGGAACGCATAATTTTTCCAACTTCCGCCCATCCTGACGAAATTCAGAATGAGGCTTGGACAGCATTTCCGGAATGCAATATGGGCGTACCCGGAAACATACTAGAGCCCGAACCCGGAAGTATTCTGCACAGCTGATTTTACTCGCGGCAATTTCGGGTGTATTTAAAAAGAGATGGTTGGTCTGTCTATTTCTTGTCTGCATAGGGTTAGATGCCCCAGAGGAAGTTCTTTTATGAACGAAACGCGTAGGACTTATTTATGTACAGAGTATTTTTTTTTTTTTTTTATATTTTAAGTTCATTTTACTTGGCTTTCCTGCTCATTCGATCCGGCTATTGGGTTGTAGTTCCAGCAGAGCTTGATGTGCCTTTCTGATACTCCTTTTTTGTAAGTGTATCTTGCAATAAATTGTGTCATTTTTTTAAGATACTCTGCACTATTATTTATTTTTCTTCCTCCTATGCACGTTATTGACATTCCATAAGTCCTGAAGTTTACACATCGTCATTTATGATATGCCTTCAATCAAATTGGGTTTGTGAGTGTAATCATTTACCTCTATAATTCCTATTGTACTACGTTACTGCTCTATGTCCGTCTCTATTATTTTTGTGTTGTAGATTGCCTTTTTGGTAGTATATTATTATTGTTCCGAGGACATATGAGGAGTCCTTCCATCTACAACACTACTTATTAAGGGTAATTTTTGTGTGTTTCCACTTATTACCCACTAAGTGTGTTTTCTACTTGCACACAGGTGTTTTTGTATCTATTTTATATATTGGTTAATTCATAGACATTCATGAAAAATCCAATTTGAATGCTGATACTGATTGAAAAGCCCATTTTAAGGATTACATATAGCCTACTACAGCCTTGAATTCAAGGTGTCCATGGCACTCTGGTTGAAAACTGCCGACCTTGACAATCCTTTTAATTCCACATGAACATGTTACGATAAAAAATGACCAAACGACGATGTTACTGCAAAAATGTCTCAACACCAATCTTCAATCCAAAGCAGGCAAATACATAGCCACCTGATGGCCGTATTGGGCTAATTTTATGACTTCAGTAATGAGCCATTTCAGTGTTATTCACTAAATAGTGAATTGTTGAAAATTTAACAAGAAATGGCAAACTTAACGCCAAATTACGTTAGCTGTGAAGATGGCGGACCCGGAGAATTTGGCCATTTTGGCCGAACATTTTAAATTGCCTGGTGAATATTTGACAGTTCCCAGTTTAGTGTATAACCCTATAGGAGAAAGACATATTTACTTTGTCATGCTTCTTCCTGAGCATACACAGGGATGTTCACTAAATCTCTCTTATTCTAGTGTATGGATGTGATCTTGCCAGCAGAGGTTCATGGGATACGTAGTTTATGCACAGCAGCAGTTCCACACCTATCACAGGGTCAATACACTGATGGCAGCTATAAGATGGAGGATCAGTCCGAGGCAGTTTGTTGTCTTCTATCTGGGTGATATTCACAGACAGTTTCTCTCCGAGCTGAGAGTGGCTCCATCCTCTACGCACCATCAACTTTCAAATCAAATGCACGTTTGTTATGGTGCCTAGAAACCCTTTTTAAGAGAGACTTGAAATCCTTATACCAGTAAGGATACAGCACCAAATCTATCCATTTTGGTTTCCCATATGATTGATAGTCAAACCCTGTGGAAAAAAATAAATCTATTTTAATGACATTGGGAACAAATCAGTCCATTGGTGATTGTAACACTCCACCAGAAAATCACTGACATTTGACCAATGTGTTTCACAAGCCTGACAATTTTATTATCTCAAAAAGTCTATACTTAGTCTATACAATGACACAGTTCTGAAAATACAGAAATCTTTGATTACCCAATTAGTGTATAAAGTGGCTAGGATTAAATTTGCGCAGACCCGGCAAAACTATGACGCTATGGCTGTACTGATTACATCGGGAGAGAAGAAGTTCATGACAACTGTTGAACCAAAAGTTTAGATCTCAGAATGAGGCCATTATCGGTCACAGTCTGTTTAGTTTTCACTAATATTCTGTGGAGTTACTGCGACGTGTTGCCTTCCTCTCCAGCTCACGAGAGGTTAACAGCGGCCTCGCTATGTCAGTTTGGGTCAGCCCTCCATGTCCGGCTCATCCAGGAAGGCTGATGAAAGCAGAGAGAATGTATGAACAGATAGCAGGAGAATTCACATTATTTCCCCCATGGCATTGTGCATCTCCTGAGAAGCTGGCAGAGCAATACAGGCTGCCCATTCAGACTGTCCCTTGGGTTTGGCAACATTCCCTGAGAAGGAGGAGAAGGCAGAACAATGATATATACATTCCAAGACAATGCTGCCACCCCAGCCAACCAATGGCAGACTCAGCTCCATCGGCATATCCTCTGCACTGGAAACTGCTCGGCTGGCTGTGCCCGGATCCCGGCTTCTGATTGGCTTCTGCAGGGAGGCAGTGGCTGGACGTCAGAGCTCTGAGAGTGGGGGCCCTCGGCATTGTTTTGGCTATTTGTAAATAGTAGAACATGTGTTATTTACCCTTCATATTGTGCCAGGCAGCAAGATAATCACAGTTCAAGCAGAGAATACGTTAAGGAGGATCTGTAAGG